CAGATCTCCTCTGAAATGCATCCGGAGATGGGAGAGGAGAGGCTCACATCCCAGTGGAGGTGGCCTGGTAACCTGGGAGTCCCCATCACAGATCTGTTGCCCCACCATCCTGACTCACACCCACCTCACTCCCACCTGGGACCTGACACTGTGGCCTGGTATCAAGTGGGGAAGGATAAGGCCTTCTCTTGGTTTCACTCTTGATGAATATCATTCCTTCAGTCACAGATACCTCTCTCCAGGACAAATGCCAAGTGAGTATAAGATTGGCAGCCTCATGCCATATCCCAGTGAGCCAGAATTAGCAGCTCACACTCTCCAAAGATGAGCTTTCTAAATGAGCATCTCTTTGGGAACTTAGCAAAGGCAGTTGGATAAATGCTAGAGAGCAGACACTTTTCATTTATGTTCTCAGGTAACTCAGTGCTCGAGGTGCTTAGAGAGTCTGGAAAAGGCCTTAATTCTGACTCTTCTTTGCAGCACCTACCTGTAGTCTCCTTTGAGCTTGTCCCTAGGCCTGGGGTCCTTTGCCTGGACAATTGTATGTAACCAGAGCCCAGCTAAAGGTTCTGCGAACTTGAACTACACAGACAGCCTTGAGTTGCCCAGAGAGCTCTTTTCTGCAAAACTTATAGACATTTTGAGGTATATCTGAATATTTTGACAACTGTCTAAAACCTAATATTTTATTCTTGTTCTGTGTTGATGATGAATATAGTTCACATTTATCTTGGACCCTCGGACAAATACTTTCATAGGGTGTTTTTTATTCTTAAGGTAGTGTAGGATAAAGAAAAGGGTATTACCATAAACTTGGGGTTCAATCAAACTCAAGTTAATACCTGTTTATTCCTGGGCAAGCTCTTAATAGCACTGATTCTCATTTTCTTGTCTGTGAAACATTGGTAATTATTATTTCTACTTGATAGGATTATTTTGAAAAGCAAATGAGGCAATCAATTTGAGAAAGAACAGTACATTGCCTGGCATTTGTAAATTCTCAATAAGTTTCTGTTCTTCGTCTTGAATACAACAAAAATGGTCTCATTTCTAGACCTTTCTTCCATAGAATGTCCTTTGATAATCTGGGTCCACTTCTCTTTCAAGGTCTAAGTCCAAGTCTTTCCTCCTTGAACTGCCAAAGCCTGACATGATTTTTCTGTCCTCTGGTATCTTACAGCATACATTACCTATTGACATTTACCAAAGATTTTATGTAGAAGGACTATTTCCCTAGGTGGCATATATGTTTGTCAAAAATAAGGATTGTGTGTTCTGTGCTTTTGTGTTCCCAGAGTTGAAGGTCATGTCTGCTACAGAGCAGGTACTCAGTAATTGTTGATACTGTTTCAAACCACCAAGTAATATGACAACCATATTCAATCCACTATTGAATAAAACTCAGAGGAGAGCAAATGTTTCTTGAGCACCAGCTTTGAGACAGGCATGCTTTTTGCCAAGGGCATGGTTGAAGATACATTCTTTGGACTGAGACCTTCAGAAGTTCACAGTTTAGTGTAGTCATTCTCAAATTCTAAACCTTGGATGCCTGTAAAAATGCAGATTCCTGGGTCCCCCTAGACCATCTGAATCAGAATCTTTATGAACAAATTGGCTACTTGCACATTTGAACAAAAGTCCCAAGTGATTCTAATGCACATTAGAGTTTGAGAACATTGGGCTGGCAGACCTTCCCATTGCATCATCAGTTGCTCTTAGATGTGACATATGTGCATTTTTCAGTCACTTGGTCAAATAGCCCATATATCCATTGCCTAGTGGATATTCTGTTGCTCCTGTTTTCTTGGCTTAGCTTATGACAGCTCCTGAAGCCTGGAGGGAAGCCTGAACTCTGGACTCTCCCTTTGCACTCTCATGATGAGGTCATTGTGAAACCACTGCCTGACAATTTTGTGTGTGTGTGTGGTATCTTCTCTCCTCCAAGCTTGGCACTGAAATGGATGCATAAATGGAGTATTTATGAAGTCTTTAGAGCAGTGTCTTCTCACTTCAAATTTTCATGGGGAGAAAAAAAGCTACTTGTTGGGTATAATGAAAATTGTACTGGGGTAGAGGGCAGGAGTTGGGGTCCTTCACTTATGTGGCCCAGGATTTCTTTGTCTGTCAAACATAAGGTTCAACTAGAAGATGATTTATTTTATAGTCACTCTTCTGAGACCATTGAATTCAGATTTCAGAGCCATACTTTCTTTGTGTAGACTCTTGGGACTTCGCATTTCACCTCTGAGGGTGGTGTGGGTTCTTTAAGACTTTCCAGACTGAAGAAGCTTTATTTTAGAGCTTGTCCTTGCCCTCTGATATTTTCCATTTTCTCATTTTCTTTTAGTATCTAGAGAAGGTCTGAGGATTTTGCTTTTCTTGATATTTAAAGAGACCACATCTGCACATCCAGATAAAATAAATATCTTCTGATTGTTTTCTGGTGACCTTTCTCATGAAGCTTAGATCCTTCTGTGCTGTTTGTCTGGGCCACAAAGAGCCAGAGAACCAGTAACAATATTACATCTTATTTTCACAGATCTGAAAAGTAAAGCTCAGGAATAGTATATCTCATTTCCAAATTCATAAAGCTGAAAAGCTATAGCATGGATTGAATCTGATTCCCAAGCCTATGCTTTCTTGTGGTACCAGGCTCCATTCAAGGGCAAAGAGATCAGAGAAAGTGGTTGGTTAGAGCTTAATACACAGAAAGGATATGTGTGGCAGTAAAGCTTGACAAGGAGGTTGGAGCTAGGCTGTGGGGGGCCTTGTTGGGCACCACGGGGGTGTTTCTGGGCACAGGGTAGTCAGAATGAGGAATCAGATAAGGAAGGTGAGGGGAAAAGCTGTAGAAGGGCAGGGAACAAGAAGAAGGACCATCTTATTTTATTTCACAACATTTCCTAGATAATGGTACTGAAGTTAGTAAGAGACTTCTGTGAGTATGTAAACTTTTAATGCTTGGGTGACCTTCTGGAGAAGGAACCAGAAGCCTGAGTCTGGGGTTCCAGGAGATCCACACAAGAAAGGAAGTCACGTGTGTTTTCTGTGCTGCCTCTTGGCATTTCAGTCTCGGGGTGTCCTCTTGGTCACTACCACTCAGACGTCTTCAGGGTCTTCAAAACATTGGGGAATTTCTTTGGTTTGCTGAGATCTTTAGGATATTTTTTTGCAAAGTCAGCCAAATATTCAAATCATGAGGGTCTTTGGGTCAGAGACACTGATACAAATTTGGGGATGGGTATGCTTCTTTTTTTTTTCTTCTTTTCTTACAGTTGACTTAGAGCAGCAACTTTTACAATCGAATCTAAATCATGGAATGGTTAGAACTGCAAGGCATTCCTGTGATCTTCTTGTCATTTCTAAGATGAGAACATTGACTCCTGGGAAGTTCTGAAACTCCCCTAAATGGACACCATACCTGCCTGGCTGTTGTTAGAACCCGAGGTGCTGCAGGCTTAGGCCTGCCCTCCACTTCACAGACTGCTTCTGACTCTAACAAGGTGGCCATCACACAGGCCTGCCTGGAGGGCAGTGGGGGCACAGATTTATCTAGGAGATACGGTGATAAGGTAATAGGCTTTTTGAGAGGCTTCCTCCAGAACATTGCCTTAAGCATGAAGGACAATAGTTCAGGGCACACAGTTTCTAGAGGGGCGAGAGCCAGACTCCAGAGTCAGTGCCTCTCTCCATGTGCTCATTGTTGAATTAACATCGCTCCTGAGGACCAGCCACTGGCAGGGCTCAGAAAGGCTCTCCGTTCTTGCTTTGCCTTTGGTGTCAGCATGGTAAGATTTGTGATTTTACCTGTGAGGGGGGTAGGGACTCCTCTGTGTGGGCAGTCCCCAGTGGAATCCGCTTGACTGCAGCTACTAATGTGCCAGGAGAGCAGGAAGCAGGGATTCCACACCTCAGGGTATGAGAGCAAATCCCTCCCCAAAGTTTGGTCAGGACACCATGCCAAGAATAACCTTACGGGAGGAGCTGTTGTTCTTGGCAGGAACAATAGGCAGTGTTTTCTTCAATGTCTTTTTTTAGTATGTAATATATGGTTCAAATTTCAAAACTGTAAAAATGTAGACCATGAAAAGGAAGGCTCCCTCCAACTCCTGACCTCAGGCTTCCAATTATTTTTTCCAGGGCAACATTTATGACCAGGGTCTCAGACATGTTCAATGCCCATATGAGCATTATTATTTTTATACACAAATGGGAATGTATTTCATGTATGATTCTGCCCTTTGCTTTTACTTTTTTCACTTAATCTATTTCAGAGTTTACTCCGTGTTGAACTGCTTTGTTCTTTTAACCACTGAATTACTACAAACATATGTTCTACCTGATTTTCTTTCTCCATTGTTTTACTTCTTTCTGGCTGTTGAGAATTCACTTGGCTCAAGTTAGGTTTTTCAAGAGGCTGAAGAGAAGGGAAAGACATTAGAAGAAGTTGCACTCAGATCTACTGAACTCTGAGGGATTAGACCAGTTTTTATCACCTGTATGTCCTGAAAACAGGACATTCTAACTCCTGTGTTACAGTGAAAGAGCAAGCAGCCAGGAAGCTTCCAGAATTCAATCCCAGCGCATTCTTGCAGTTTGTGGGCACCGCGATTGATTGGTCACACCCTCTCCATGAGGAGATCTCTATGGCTGAATGGGTTTCTTGAGAAGATGAATATTAATAATATGTTCCCCAACAATAATAAATTGGGGCTCAATGAGCCAAAACAATATCCCAAAAAAGAGTTTAGTAGAAATGAAGATAGATTTTTAGATGCTTGCACGGAAGAGCTGAATAGTCCTGACTTATCTCAGAAGCTATTGAAAAGCAAGGGGGACACAGGTTGGAAGTCTGGGTCTGATCTTCATAGAAAGAACCAAGTCCCTTGTCAAGTTGTTGCCTCTGCAAGCTACCGTGTTTCTGCTTCATAGGGTATGACTGGTCAATTCCATTTGTTCACCTTCATTTTTCTAAAAATATACCATTTTTCCTCCTTCAGGTGCCACCTCAATATCCTCCAATTCAAAGTATCAGAGTACAGTTTACCAGTAAGTATGGTCAAAAGTTTAACTGATTCATATTTTAAAAAGAATCTTCTCTCCAGTCTCTTAATTTTCTCTAGAACACAAGGCCTCTCTCTGTCCTCAGGAAAGCTCTAAATCCTGGAATTATTGGAGCATGCATATCATCTTCATTAGGGACACAAAAGGGGGTATAAAGAAGAAAAGGAGTATAATTAGTTACCTAATATGTGCTTGCCATTGTATTAATTACATTATGTGCCTCACTTAATCCTTCCAGGGACCCTCTGAGTAGGAATTATTCTCATTTTTTAGGTAGTGAAGCTAAAGCTTTACTTCTTACAAGTTGGCCTGACTGTAAGTCACATCATTTCACATTGTTACAGGACACACTTTTTACCTTAATGTGAGTGGAGAGAGGCCCAGATATGAAGGCAAGGTGGTTCTTTATCAGGAGAACATTATTTGGATCTATGAATCCTACTAGGACAAGCACCAGCAGTTTCTATATGGTTATTCATTTGTTTATTAAGTCCCACTGAGCCTGATGGGAAATATATCTTGCCTTCAGTGGTCCTCGTTTTCAATTCAAAGATGCCCCCTGAGCTTGGTACAAAGCAACAATTACTGAACTGTGTCCAGCAGTGGGAACCGATCCTTTCCTGTCACCAAGAGACATGCAACAGAGCAGGAAGTCTGAGATGTGGTTTCTTGGCCATTCAGCTGATATTGGAGCTGAGATGGAAGTAAAATAAATTCAGTCTTTTTGATTTACACTTGGAATGGCCCCACGCAAAGCTACCAGAGCCATCACTCTGCACCTGCCTCCTCCTTTTCCTCCTTCTATTCTTTCTCCTGTGGCAGCAACTCTTCCCAAGGCACATTCCAGGAAAAACTCACAACAGAAGGGGAGAAGGGAGAAGCAAGTTTGTTCCTGAGCTCTTCCATCTGCATCTTACTGAGCAGAACCTGAACCCACAGACATTCTGTGCATAGTAGCCTTTTAAAGCTTAAATGAGTGCAGGCAAAGGCCAGTAGTACATGCTGTAGGCTAGTCCAGTGCCCGGGGCCTGGGACAAATTTGCATTTCATGATCAGGTGAAGAGAGGATAGGGAAGAGAGTTAAAAGCAATTGCTTTGCATGGAGGTGGTGTGCAGGATCCAGGCAAGGGGCACTCCCAGCACCCTTTGCCCTAGTCTAGCTATTGAGAAGAAAGGAGGCACTGAAGTTGTGGAACCGCTGCTTTTGAAAAATTAGGGAAACCTCAAAGCTCCGTTTCTTTCCACAACTGCTGTGACAACTGCTGATCACTATAATCTCCCAGTTCTATCTGAAACCCTGTTGGCCGCTAGCTTTGCCTCTTCCATTCCTCAGGTAAAGTAGATTCTAACCCTCATGTAGAGACACAGTGCTCTCTCTCTTTCATTCTTCTCAAAATCACTATCACTTTGTCTTACATGTTTCCAGATGTACTGGAAGGTTGATACCAAATGCTGTGCTTAAGGAATGATTCTTGTGTTCTTTTCCTTCTTGCCCTGCCCTCCTTAGGATGTGATAATGAGAAAGGTTTCATCATCACATCCCCAAGCAAGTATGAGACCATGAAGGTGCAAGACAACGCAATCATCATCCGTTGTGATGGATTTTATCTCATCTCCCTGAAGGGCTACTTCTCCCAGGAGCTCAGCCTCAGCCTTCATTACCGGAAAGGTCGGGAACCCCTCTTCTCCCTGAGCAAGGTCAAGTCTGTCAACTCCATTGCGGTGCCCTATCTGGCTTTCAAGGACAAAATCTACTTGAATGTGACCACTGATGATACCTCTTGTGAAGACATCCAGGTGAATGGTGGGGAACTGATTCTCATTCATCAAAATCCTGGTGGATTCTGTGCCTACTGAAGACTTGATGGCCACATCTGAGCCAGGCACCAGCATGGACACAGAGCTGGGGGTGGACAGGACAGTGATTCTACCTTGAGGGTAGAGGAGCTGTCCCGATTCGGCCCCTGTATCTGGCCACACAGGATGTGACCAGAAGCAGATTCCCCCACTCAGGGATATTTAATACTTATTTGACACACCACTTAACTTTATTTATCCTCATATCTTGTCAAGCTAGCCTTCATCCATCACGACTGCCTCAAGCCTCTAAGGCACATCTGTGAGAATGAGAAAATGTGTCTCTCCCTTAAGACACATTGCTTCTATTGGTCAAGAAATTGTCACAGTAAACTTTTCTTATTAAATAAGACACTTGACTACCATTTGCTGGAAACTTGACACCTGGCACTGTCAAAATGAAGAGGACCAAGGAGGGGGCTATGAATCTGCCAAAGGTGGTGTGGACTAACCCCTGGCAGCCAAAGCTGCCTCTCCAAGATGAAATTGGCTGCAGTTTGCATATTGCCTAAATACCTCTCACATTTGGTGGTGTTCAAAAGGAAAATGAACTTGTAAAAAGCTGTCAGGACTTGATGAAGAGTAAGCTGGCTAAGGAGTGCTTTTTTTCTTTACCACTTTGCTTTCCCACCCTCCAAATGTTCCCAGTAGAATTTCCCTTCGAAGAGTCATCCTGGGGTGACACTGTGAAAAATCTCATCAGTGATTTGAGGAAAACTGAGAGAGATTTTTCTAAACTGGGAGAGTGAGATAATTCATTGTGAAAGTTATCTTTATTGCACAGGAGAGCAGTGAAACTGGACCTCTCAGGGTAAGTCAGTAAGAATTTAAATAGTCTGGGGAAGATAACACAAACTTTGCCACTGATAGGCAAAGCGACACAGGCATCTTCCTGCTTATGCTGAGAGACACCTCAGCCCCATGCCTTGTACACATGGTACCACATTGCTAGTTTCAAAAATGAGGCAATTCTGTTATCAAATGCAACTTTATATCAAAAGACACTGAGAAGTTATTGTATCTTTTGAAAAATAAGGATCTCTTTTTAGAAACATCATAGTATCACAGGTGACCTCACATTGATAATTGACCAGAAGGACCAACAATCAACCAATATCAAGGCTTTTAAGGGAATAAGATCCTACTGTATTTAGTTTAAATGTCCCTGTTGATGTATCAGGCTTACGGCATTATGCAGAAATGTGATTTTTAATAGCCTAATTTCCAGATGATTTGTAAGTTTTTAAATTTTTGATAAAAAGATGTTTTAATGGTAGCAAATGCTCCCCTGCCATTTTCAGTAGAGTTTACAACCTATCCTAGAATCTTTCTGGATGATTTTGTGCCATCACAGTAATTGCACTGTGCTGATACACACTGATATCCAGAAAGGTGGAAGGCAGTTTGCTCCTACACTAAATGGTCTCAATTACATTCAGACTATTTTTTCTGCCTGTCTAACACAATTTTCCATCTCCTTGTAAGTGTCTATCTCCAACTATATTCCCACCCCTTTATTTTAATCTGTTATGGAGGGAAGGTAAATAAAAAGGCTTAGTAAAAAGAAGCTAAAGAAGAGAAATTGTGCATAAGGCAAGAGTAACCAGTTCTGAGTGGCCGCCAAGGCACTCACATAATCAAACAGAATAATCATTCTTGGTAAACATTTATGGAGGGCCTCCTGTGGACCAGGTATTGGGCTAAATGCTTTATATTGATTGTTAGGAGCAAGATAACCTGTGGTATCTGTTTTGACTACTAAGAGGATTTAAATGTGTGTGTGTGTGTGTGTGTGTGTGTGTGTGTTACTGACTGTGACCTGCAAAGGCAGTTACTCAATGAGTGACATCTAGTAAGTAAGTGGTTGTAACTATAGATAATATTTAAGAAAACCTATGTTTACTTGTTTAAGTTTGGAATTGCTCACTGTATTTCTCCTGGACATGCACATTCCAGGCCTAAAGCATGATTGCTGTTCTGTGGGCTGTCTTTGGTGCCTGGGCCCCTCATGCCAGGTGCCTACTCCTTTTGGGTTCCCATGGCCTGCTCCTCCCATGCCAGACTCTTTCAGCCACACAGGGACACTGCTGCCATGCACCACCCTCTCTCTCCCACCTTCCACCCATCTAAATATGCGTGCCCCCTCTAAGTAATTCCTTTGAAGGGATAACTAACCCTTCTGTGGACACAAAAGCATTTTGTGGAAAGAGAACTGCATGAGAAGTGAGGAGATTAGAATTTTACTTTGACTCCATCCCTAACTAGCCAAGTGAACTGGGGCAAATATGTTCCAATTTTTGGATCCTGCTTTCCCTTCTTGTTAAATGATCATTTTAGAATCTTAGGCTCCTAGTGTTAACTGTGAATGTACATACTAAAAATGTCTATGTACTGGTTACTATGAGTCAAGATGTGGTAACCTTCCCTTTCATTGTGTGGAATTTTTTTTTTCTTGGACAAGCTAACACCTTCCCTCAGCCTTCTTGGTAGTTCCTTCAAAAGTAACTGTTACTTAGTGGCTTTCTATTTAGGGAATGGCTTAAGGGAGCCCAATCTTGATCCAAAATCATAATTTGTTCTTAAGCATACTGGGCAGGTCCCCTATTTTAAGCCACAATTTTTTATTTAGTGCTTTCCTTGCTCTGAGAGTATTAATATTAATATTAATAATATAGCTAATAATAATATTGGCATTTACATGGAAACAAATAAAATATCAGAATTCATTACTGGTTAGAGTGTTGGAGTTTTTTTTAATCCTTATACTTGCCTAGGTCTGATCTGCTAATTCCCTGATGGGGGAAAGAGGGGGCAAGTGTTCCAGCCTCCTGCCTGCCTCTGGGGATAGTCCAGCTGAACTGCCCAACTCCATCTTTGCTTTTGAAAAGACATTTACTGAAAGTCCTCAGAGCAACTCTCTGGTTCAAGGGCATGCTTCAGTTAGAATTCTGTTAATGCACTATTCTTCTTTCCCTCAACTTCTTGCCACATTTCTAACACTGACATGATTTCTTTGAGTATTATACCCCTTATCCTTAGTAGTAATTGCATCTGCAGTCTCAAGAAGAGGTCCCCACTCTTAATGGGCTGTGTGTGTGGTTCAGACCCTGTGGACCCTGTGGCGCCTGTGATGGTGTTGATGCCTCTCTTCCTGCAGTCTCCTCTTCCCTGGCTTCTTGAGCCTCAACTTTGTTCTGGTCTTCTCTTTCCCTCTCTGTTCTCTGCCTTTCTCAGTCCACTTCACCCTTCACTCTTCCTCTTTCCCTGTCCCCTCATCCTCCCCTTGAATGCTGGTGTTCTCTAGGGCTCTACCTTCAGCCCTCTTCCTTCTTTACACCAGAGGCCATAGTCGGGCAGTAAATAAGCCACAGTCTGGCCTACGTTTGTGTTCAATTTGTTGGGAAATTTCAGGCTTCTTTTGATAAGACAAAACAAACAAACAAAACCCCCCCAAAACCCCCAAGAGATCTCGTGGTGCTGGGCCAAATTTTACCCTGGCAGCAAGTCATCTCAAGCAGAGGAGCAGCCTTTTTCTTTAGAGAGACTATGCACTTGGTATTTCCTGAGTTCGTCCCAGTCACACAGTACAAACATGCTTATACCAACTTACTTCACCAGTTTGCTCCCTGGCCATGAGGCACTGAGAGTTGTGATCTCAGCTGTGTACACTTGTTGACTTCATTGATTCTTATGCCCTCAACCACAGCTCAGACACCAAACTAAAAGCATTTTCCAGCTCAGATATCTTCCACGCCAGTGTCACACCTACTGTAACCGTCTGTGTTATTAGTAATAAAATGCCATTTATGGAATACTTATGATATGACAGATACCATATTAGCCATTTTATATGAATTATTTTTATCTTCCTAACAATGCTTTGAGATAGGTATTATTATTCCTATTTTATGTATGAGAATCTGAAACTCTATGAGGTAAGGTAACTTGCCCAAAGCTGTGTACCTAGTAAGTGGTGGAGCTCAGTCAGGTTCTGGCCAAGCATGGTTGATACTGAACCGTGCTTAACTACTAATACTCTCCTGCCCGCAGGAAGCCCATGTAAATGTAATGGGAACCTCTACTCAGAATGCTTGCAATGGACCCTCTTCCTCACCAGGCCCATCCTTCCTGCTCACTCATTATGGTGCTTAAAGGCACTGTAGCATTTCTGAAGCCAGAAGCCCCAGTGCCATCCTACTCTCCTCTTTCTCCCTGTCTCCTCCCATGAGCCTGTGGAGTATGGCTTCTCCTCATTCACTGCCTTTTATAAGATTGCAGTAACTTCCCACCAGACCTACATGCCTCATGAGTAATGTTTGAATTAAGAAGATGATGCTTAGGTCAATGAATGAATAAAATGAGTGAACAAAACAAAGCAGGGTGCCGTGGTGGAAAGATCATGGTGTTTGGAGCCTAATTTTAAATTCTGAATGCCATTCACAAGCTGGGTGACCTTGGCAAGGTTTTCTTTCTTTCTTTTTTTTTAAAACACTCTTAAATCTTACTTTTCTTATTTGTAAGTGGGGATACTGACACATACCTTCTGGGTTATTGTAAACATAAGAGTACCAAGCATATTGTCTGGGACATAGCTGGTCTTGATAACTAGTAACTATTAACTTATAAAAGCCAATATAGCTTTTAATTTTGACCTAATTCATATGAATACCTTACTTTCTGTCTGTTGAAAACCTTTGAATTACTTTTCCTCGAAGAAAATTAGAAAAAAAAATACCATAAGAGCCATGTTTTTAATACTTTTGGCAAAAGATATACAAAATGCTGCTTATTAAAATCAGAGTGAATGTTTAATACAGACCATGCTGGGTGGTTTTTAAAATATGAATTAAATATTTTTTTAAAATCCATATATTAGAATATTAATCTGAGGTCTTATGAGCACTCACTAAAAAATAATCCCTGAGAGATTATCTGCACATTTCTTTATTTGTTTATGAGTTAATATAGCCTGTTTCTAAAATTAAGTTTCTGGCAGTACACTGGAACTACAGATCTATTAGGAATGTTAGGTAGAAAGAGAGACTTGAGCAGCCGTGGAGGGGAAAGATAAGTTTCAAAGGAAAAACCATCCAAGAAGAGGACACAGTGCTGTTGGAGAAGAAGTTCTGAGTGGTGTGGGAGAGAAAGCTGGTCAGCTTGGGCTCAGAGCCATGAGAATAGGCAGGGGGCCAAGAGAGCTGCTGGTGCGTGTGAGGAGAGACTGAGTGATGGAGGAATAACCAAGAGTCAAAGGAATGCAGGCAGCCCCTATAGACTGGAAAAGGCAAGAAAGCAGACTCTCTACTGGGACCAACAGAGGAATGCAGCCCTGCTGACTCATCTTCACACACTTTGGACCTCCAGAAC